AATGAAAATAAATGCATTCCTCAACAGCACTATTCTTAATATAATCCCCAAATTTAAGCTCTTAATCTCTTGTTAATGATTTTTTTTTAAATTCGCCGAAATTAGTGGCTAAAACGCCTCATTAAGTGCTATTTTCTGGTTTAAACTGTAAATCATTGCAAGAAACGAATGATGACTCAGAGTGTATGATAGATACAGTCGCGTTACACCAGAAAGCAGCACTTAACAAGGCGTTTTAGCCACTAATTTCGGCGAATTTTAAAAAATCATTAACAAGAGATTAAGAGCTTAAATTTGGGGATTATATTAAGAATACTCCTGTTGAGGAATGCATTTATTTTTAATATGATATTTCAAAATTTAAAGCCCTTTGATTTTTTTTCTTGGAAACTGAAAATAATTAAAACTTTAAAATATAAGCATATTCTAGATATTATTGCCTAATTTATTTTGCCAAAATTTTAACTTTTAAAAAAATTACTTTTTGAGATATGCTTGTCCGAAAATTATAAGGGGGTGCTGTACTCACCTTAAGTCATGTGATGAGTCAAATTATTTATTTGAAATTGAAATTTATAGTACGTTTATTGGTTGTAATTCTGAAAGTAAAATGGATTAAGATTTTTTTTTGTTATACATAAAGATTGTAAAATTAAATAAAAGTTAAACCACAAGAAAATCATTTTCATTTCACTTGTGCCCAGCCCATTTGTTCCCATAGGGTAATTTTTTTGTAAATGTTTTAAATAAAAGTTGTTTAATAGTTAATCCATTTAAAGCTCCAGCTATTTTTAAGATGTTCAATTTAGGTACATTTTCATAAAATATAGTTTTTTTAAAGTTGGTTATTTAGTGCGTTTTTTTTGAAATTCAGTACGTTTTAAAATGTTTTTCAGTACGATTTGTAATATTCATTCTGGCAGCCCTGCCACAGACTATGGCTGTAATGTATTCTTTTTGAGTATATTTAAAATTTTAACTTTCATTTTTTTGCTACAAAACATTGTTTTTAACAAACGAACTTCTGATTTTAAGTTGACGATACCGTAATAAATTAGAAACAATATTTGAAACCTACAGGTACTTCAGAAAAAAATATATTTATAACATAAAGGCAAGAATAATTTTTGGTATGTAGTAGATTCGAAAAAGAATCAAGGAAAATATGTAGATGTAAATAGTTTTAAGTTGAATTATGGGCAATCAACAGTAAATACAGTAGAACCTCGATTATCCGGAGATCCAGGACCGAGCCTTTGCCATTTTTAATTTATTTATTTAGATAAATACTTATGTCAAAGGAACAAAAGAAGCATAATAGGTATATATAACAAAAATAAAAGTTTTGATGTTTATATACGCTTTCCAAAACCAATCCAACATAGCGTTTGTACCGGAGGCGCGTAATAATTTACGTTATAAGCGCTGAGAATGCTATATCCTCACGTTGCAAATAAGCGCGAAAAATATTGTATACTCCCCTTTTAAAACACAGCAGCCGCTAGACAACATGGACTTGATTGACGTGTGTCACAAGCCCATCATCTTCTTTGTCTACCAATGAAAACACGTAAACGGGAACTTGGAGGCGTGTTCGAAATAAGTTTTTATAATTTATGGGACGCGGTAAAGACCGGTCTTCGGTTATTATGTTGTTATTCAGTAGCGTGCACAGTCTGAAACCTTTCTAAAACGTTTGTTATACCTATAAACTTTTCTTTGTATTTTAAGGTGTTTCCGTTAAATTTTGATTTGTGTTGTACGAGATGGCTTTCTGGAGACCATTTGAGGTAAATGTAGATGCTAATGAATTGCAGGTTAATGATGATATTCACATTAATAATGAAATTGCAATAAATAATGAAATTCAGAATAATGACAATCAAGGTAAAACACAATCTTGGGAATTCAAAAACCAAGACTTACATATTCAAGTTCAACAGGTCATTTTAAATATGTTTGTTTGTCTTAAATCAGAAAATCCAAATATTTCACAAACAGATGCAGTTAAAAGAATATGTAAGTTAACAAAAATTCCCTATTCCACAATTTATTTCGTTATTAAACGAGGCGTTATTGAACACAGTCAAAGAAGAAAACCTGTCGTCGGCCGTCGGATAGATGATGCATCTAGAGATGTGATTCGACGAACGGTTTACAACACGTATAAAGAAATCCAAGTCCCAACCTTAGAGATACTTTTTAGAAAATTACAAGATTTTGAAGATTTCAAATATAAAAAGTTAGATAGCTGAATGTGTATTATGGAGTCGCGTCGAATTGTGTCTAGAAAGACTATACATGATGAAAGAAACACATAATCACAACCAGTTTAAATTCATCCACCTCTATTTACCAAAATTGATGAATTCAATAAGAACCAACTATTATTTTTATAACAGAGACCTGGGTCAATAACGATAATAAACCGTTAGTTACACTTCCAGGATATATGCACTTCCAAAGCTACAAAGAAGGTGGAGGTGTATTTATATACGAAAGAGCATAAATGGGATCTAAATGAATTCCAGCCTTCGAGAAAATTATAAAAATTATATAGCTTCAAAGATTATGTCCATATAGGTTGAGATCAAGGTAGATCAAACATGCTTTTGTCATGTATTTACCGTCTTGGATTTGTTGGAATGCAATAAAATACACATTTCATGGATATGTTCATGAAAGCATCAGAAGAACAAACAAACGTTGTTATATTTGAAGATTTTAACTATCAAGAACTAAACTGATCAACTCTAACACTGAAAGCAACATAGAAGTGAGGGATTTTATTAAATCATACACAGAGCCTAGTTTCAAACTCAAAAATTTCCCTACTAGAGTGCGCAACGGTCAGAAATCTACACTCGACTTACTATTAGTCAATGACAAAAAACTAATAACATCCATTAACTCTGAATCACCTATTGGTTTGGGTGATCATGTAGTCATTAAGGCAGTTGCACAACTTAACATCCTCCAAACTGGATAAACATACAGTGTTAAAAAGAGAAATTTCTGGAAAGCAATTATACAATAATCAATAGTGCACATTTGCAAAATATGCTAATAGTTCTTACGAAACTTTAACAAACATACTGCACAAGGTAATAAATGACAATATTCCTCTAGAAGTAATAAATAAAAACCATGAAAAACCTTGGATCAATCGAACCCACTTCAAAGAAATTAATTAAAACGGAACCTATGGCATAGGTACAGGTTAACAAGAGCTAAAGAAGATTATGCTGCATATAGAAATCAGAACAATAAACTTAAAACATTATTTATTAGCTATATTTAGAAAAAATTATGAACGTAACCTCTTAAAAAGTGGCGAAAAGAAATGTTACTCCTATGGGAAAAGAATACTGAATACAAACAGCTAAGAAACCCAACAACGCATTTAGCAATCTCAGAACCAGCTGAGATAGCAGAAATATTTTCAGAACAGTTCAGTGCAGCTTATACAACAGAACCTGATACAGAATCACTGCAAATAACTGCAACAGAAAGAGTTGAGAATAACATAGTGAATAAAGAATTTACCCCAGAAAATTAGTACCCATGCCACAGTGCATAAACTAAGTTCCATATAAGAAATTCATTTTAAAAACACTGATAATTATAAAGCACTAAAGTTATATCGAAAAATTTTAAAATCAATAGGGTTCTCAAATAAAAAAGTTATCAAATAATATCGAAACCATAAATCGATCGGCGCTATTGTTCCAGAGTTAGCGTTTCGGCGTAAATACATACATACGCCACACAGACGTCCGGAGTAGATATCGTTTTAGGTTTTCGGGCTTAGAGTGGTCGAAAGTTTTTAGAAGAAGTTTTTTCAAAGGCACAAATTCAATACTGAAGCCTCATACGTAGGACGCATCAACAATTACAATTAATTGACCTAAAATAACATCTGTAATAACTTAGGTATCATCCACAACCAGTGTTGAGTTCAGAAATCTTCTCTTTTTATTATGTTCTTCTATTTTCGTTCTACATCTTATTCCGATATTTTGATTTTAGGTGCCTCTCCCTTTTCCAAATTTTCTTTCTTGTATTGTGATTACTGGTCGTATCATCTTATAGTACGTTTTTCTAATCATCTACTTTTAGTATTTTATCCGTTAGTCTTTATCCTGCAATTTTTTTTAAATTTTCATTTTTCCTTTTTTGTTGTTTCTATATTTCTGATCATCATGTTAATATTGGGATAAACAGAGCATTGTGTATTCATATTTTTGTTAATTAGTGTTGGTTAATTTGCAATAGATACTAAGTCTTAAAAATTCAAGTCCTAGAATAGATGAATTCCCACCCAGTTTATGAACGACTCTATGCAAAAACAGGAACTGCCAATGGACTGGAAACAGGCTATAGTCACTTCTATATACAAGAAAGGCGACAAAAAATCCCATAAACTACCGTCTAGTCAGTCTTACAAGTTGTATCGGTAAAGCAATGGAAAAGATTATTACAAAAGAAATAACTGAGTTTATAATGAAACACATAGTTTTACCATGGGTTTACGCCCAAAAGTTAACCAGTGGACAGCTTGGAACGACAACAACCAGCCAATTGATGTGATATATCTTGATTATGAGAAAGCTTTTGATAAAGTTGATAAATCTGCTTAGCAAACTGGAACACTTTGGAATTTTCTTATTTAACAGGCAGTTCTGCGTAATAAGAATAAATGGACAGCTGTCAAACAACCATCCAGTAGAAAGTGGAGTACCATAAGGTTCGGCCTTGGGTCTCCTATTATTTATTTGATTCACTAGCGACTTATGCAAAAGATCTATTGCAAGTCACTGGAAAGCTCTCACAAAATTAAACGAGACTTGAATAAAATAGGAATCTGATCCCAACATAAATAAGTATACAGTATTGCACATTGGCCCAAATAATCCCCGCACAGACACCATAGATACAAACGCAATAACTCCAGTCGAAACACAAAAGGATCATGGTGTAATCATATATAAAGCCTTAAAATGGAAAGCTACATTGCTAATATAGTGAAGAAAGTCATCAGTCTCATTTACCTTATCAAAAGAGCTTTTAAAGACCATTTCGAAGATATGATCCTCAAACTGTACACAACTTATGTAAGATCCATACTTTGTTAAAGACTTTGGACCGCTGGAAAGAGTACAAAGAAGAGTCATCAAAATACCACCAACCCTACAAAACAATGAGTACCGTGATCGGCTAACCAAACTACAACTTTCAAGTTTTAAAGGATAGAAGAACTAGAGGAGACTTGATAGAAACTTACAAGTGGACCAGCGGATATTACACCTGTGATAACATCTTCCAGGCCAGTACGTCAAAAACCTTGAGAGGTCATTCAAAAAAAGTAGATACAGAAAAGTGTAATAAACTGCAAAGAAAAAATTTAATTACAAACAGAACTGTATATCTGTGGAATGGTCTCCAGGAACATACAGTCTTAGCCCAGAACATAAACCAGTTCAAGGCAAGGATGGATAAAAAACTGGAAGAAGGAAGAAATACTTTTATTCATTATAGTTTATAGTATAAGTTTTAACTGTCATGTAGTAATTTAGAATAATTTTTGTCACTAACTAAATGCGCAGAAAATTTCAATCAATACTTGGCTACGCCGACCGGCATAAACACCAACGGCCTGGACACAGCTCACCTACCCTGTCAAAAGGAGCCGGTGTACAAATAAAACGCGTACAACATGCGCACTACAAATCATTAGTGTTGTCCCCGATACGCGAGTCGATATTTGGTTCAAAATTAATTTAGTGTCGTATTTTTTTTTTGTTAAAATTGATTAATCAACGTTTAATGGCTCATGACTGGGATTTAAAAATTGTTTAAGAAAATCAAAATATTTTAAAAAAAGAAATATGAAACGGGAATTAAAAATGTTTGAAGGGTTTGAAAGATAGATTTGTAAAGAAAGAAAGGTTTTTATATTGAAAATTATATTGGATTATTGAATGTGTACGAGATAATAAAAAGATAAAAAAGAAACGAGGTAAAATTTATTTCACATTATTGAAAAAAAAAAAAACAGATTGGGTAAAAGCAGTTATAAGTTGGTATATGAGAAAGAAGACAAGGTGTCGATAGCAGAGAAGGATGGCCAAGGACGACAAAAAAAAAAAATCTTAGGAGATACATAAATGTTATTAAAATTCATATTTTTTTTGTTAATTTTTAAGTATCAAAATTAAATGTAATCCCATCAAATGTTCGATTGGCCATCCATAGGTAATCAGCGCTCATGCGCCAACCTGTGGCCACCAGCCACGGATAATCTGCGCTCATGCGCCAACCTTCGACCGCCAGTGACGGATAATCCGCGCACGGATAATCAATTTAAAACGCCTCACGGATAATCGAGGTTCTACTGTAATTTATTTTACTAGCCCATATCTTTCCTTAAAACTATCTACATTAGAAAGTACTTTATAATTCATAATATACATTCTATATAGTGCTGTGTTTGTATGGTATGATAGTTAAATAAGCTATAATGTTAAACTAAGATGTCAATTCTTTTAATAACTCCTCCGTTGACCGGTGTTCTTTTTTAAATTTTTCCATAAACGATTTAGGAACCGTCCATTCCAGTAATATCTGTACGTTACGCTTCAAAGTTTCAGCTGGCGATAGCCCGATTTCCTTACACGATTCTCGTCCTGAGTTCTCTATCGATTCGATTAGAACCTCATCGATTAATCGTTTATTAAATCCTAGAGCTTTTAAGCGATCGGGAGCCGATATCTTTTTTAAAAGAATAGCTAGTAAGTACCTCATCTTCTCGATAGGCATCGTTAGATCATCATTAGTTTTAATATTCTTTATATATTTTAAAGAGGGTTTGTCGTCGATGTTGTCGCAAACGGAGTAATGAGCGTCCAAATCGATTTTCGTTTGATGGAAAGATTTGCAATGGACGCAAACGTACGGCTTGTTGCTCTTATGTATAGCCAGCATGTGCTTCTTCAAATGCGGCAGCTGCGTAAAAGAAGTATCGCATAGTACGCATCCGAACGGTTTCTCGCCGGTATGTCGGCGCGTGTGCAACTTCAGAGCGGTCGAATGCGCGAAAGCCTTCCAACAAATCTGACATCTATACGGCTTCTCGCCGCTGTGCGTCCTTTGGTGCACCGTCAACTGCGACCTTTGCGTGAACCTGGCGCCGCAATGAGCGCACCCGTGCGGCTTATCCTTCTTATGGATCCGCATGTGTTGCGGCAAATGCCCTTTCAGATTCTTATTACAAATGTGACAGTGGAAGGCTTTGATGTTGGCGTGGTAGCAAGTGAGATGCTTCCGTAATGCGTCCCTTCTGAAAAATCTTTTGCCGCAAATGTCGCAAACGAAATCGCGTATTTCCAGATGTCGGTTCATGTGCAGCTTCAAATTAGCGGAACACGTAAACGACGCGTGGCAGATGAGGCATACGTACGGTTTAGAACCGGTATGGGTGCGCATGTGCTGTATCAATTGCCCGCCTCTAGCGAATCGCTTGCAGCAATGTTCGCATTCGTACGGTCTATCTCCGGTATGGGTGCGCAAGTGCAGCTTCAATCTGTCTTTGATGGGAAACGCTTTTTTGCAGTAATGACATACGAATATGGTCTTGCTTTGCAATCCCGGCGAGTGTTTACAAGCGATGTGGTTTTTTAAAGAGCCAGCTTGCCTGAACGCCTGTCCACACTCGTTGCAAACGTACGGTCTTTCATCAGTATGGGTACGAATGTGCTTCCTGAGATCGTTCCCGCTGATAAACCTCTTTTCGCATATTCCGCATTCGAATTTGCGCGGTCTCTTCTGCGCGTTAGTCATTTTTTTTTTATTATTAATTCCAAAAGCTGTTGATTGACTAGAGTGGTTGTTAAAAAGACATGCAAAACCTTAACCTTTGTGCTAGAGAAATTTTGATTTAGTTTTTAAATTAGCCCAATCACCAAATATAAAAATAATGTGTATAAATAACTATTAGTACAATTAGAGTGATATGTGTAGATCCATCGTGGTGTCTGACTAGTAGCAGAGATCTCTACCATCACCTCTTTCACCTCTCTCACCTGTAAGAAGGAATACCTCAACCTTGGTTACTACTATACTAAACTACGTTTTTGGTAAATAATTAGCAAATTTTTTATGAGACTAAATTAAACTATACTGGTGCAGTTTAAAAATTATTAACACAGGAAACTGTCTGTGGCGAGGTATAGTTAAGTTGGTGCAGCTTTACATGCAAATAGTGAGTGTCTGACTTTTAATTTGTAGAATTTTATATAAATAGCTATCTATGGTGATACAAAGTTTAATTCTGGGATAATGTCGATTAAATATTTGTTTTAACCGTAATCTGTTATGGAAGAGGCCTATGATTAAAGACAGATGTCACAGATATGCTAAAGAACATTCAAGTGAAATTTACATAGAATATTTTAACAAATATTTCAGCCTTTCCCTTTTTCTATCCTAAAGGTACGTTTACATCTGACATTTATTGCATGATATTTATGTCCAGTGTAAACACTCAAAAATATATGTCTGAGAGAAATTTTTGTGTGTTTACACTGGACTAAACAACTGTCAGACATAAATCTCATGCAATAAATGTCAGATGTAAATGTACCTTTAATAGTAATGGGAGGAAAGAATATGTTAGTGAAAATCTGGGACAAGGCATAACTTTGCATCTCATTTAAAAATTATAAAAAAAAAGATCCTTTTCTGCACCAACAGTACAATAATACTGGTTTTGGACATGGTTCGTAGACACTACGGTGGACTAAAGAAAGAATGACGTCACCAAATGAAAAAGTGAGTTGACAGAAAATATTATACCTAGGTTCGTACATTAGTTTTATTGTTATTTAGTGGTGTTTATATTTTTACTTTTGGACTATTTTCTAATGTTACAGTTTTTATAATTTTTTGAAAGACAGCAAAGAAAATCATGAGATAATTTTCATAAAATTTCAAATGAATTACTATTTATTGAATTATAAAGAGAAATATTATTGTGTGCATGGTTTATTTTAAACATTTTAGGTTAAGGTACGGTAAATAAAAATTTCGGAAACTCTTAAAAATTAGCCTTTTTTTACCTTAAACTTCCAAATTTGTCATCGAATCACGATCTCAAAAACATGAATTTGATTTCTTGTAGTAAACACTGCAAAATAACAATATTAGACTATCTATAGAGCAACAAATCATATAAACTTTTTTTGTAAACGCTTATAATTTCATTGCATTTGTTTTTCAAAATTTTAAAACTGTTGGTGACATCGGAGTAACATTTTACCTACTGTCGTCTGTCATTTAAAAAACATCTAAAAAAATACAGTGTTGCCAGATCAATTCAAACATCATCAAACGTCAATCGTAATTTTTACCTGTGACCTGCATTGTTCCGGGAAATCAAAAAATGTGACTTTTGATATCAGAAAAATTGTATAAAACACGTAATAAAATCGCGCGTAGAAAGAACCAGCACCTGTAGCTATCGCGGGGTACTACGCATTATTTTTAAGTAAAATAAAAAAAAAACAACTAATTTACTTAACCTGTGCGGCCTGGAGCCATGGTGGATTGCTTCGCAAATTATACATAAAATGAGAAAATAATCAAAAACTAACTAATTTACCTAACCTGCGCGGGCTGGAGGACCCACGGGTTGCTTGGTAAAAAAATTACATGCTTCAATTTTGTGAAAAACTTTTAGAAGTAGTTGTGTACAATCAAATCATGGATTTATAACTTCAAATAAAATACTATACAGTTATCAATCGGGCTTTAGGAAAGCACATTCTTGTGAGTCGGCTTTACAATTAGTTGTTTCAGATATGAAAAATATTCTTGATAAACCAGGAGTTGGTATCTGTGCAGTTTTTATTGATCTTAAACGTGCATTTGATATGATTGACCATTTTACTTCAAAAATTAAAAAATATTGGTTGCATAATTACTTATTAAATAGAGATCAAGTAACTAAAATTAATAATGAGGTATCAAATCCAGAATTATATACTTTTGGGGTGCCACAGGGAAGCGTACTTGGACCCTTACTATTCATACTTTATATAAATGACTTAGGACAGGT